GGATGAGGAAACAGATACAGAAAGGTCAAGTGATGATGGTCAAGATGCCACAGCCATTTTTAGTAGCAGAACCAACCCTGAAACCTAGGTCTTAGGTCTGTCTGCCCTGTTCTCCTCCTGTAGCACTGCAGGTGAAGCTAACCCTTTCGTTGTCAAATTAGATTTACATGAAAATAATTTTGTTTTAAACATCAGTCAAAAATTCTTATACTTTTAAAACTATTCAGAATGAAGGCAGAGATGAGGACATGGAGAGATAGAGCAGTTGAGGACTCTAGACTCATGGAAAGAGAAAGGCTGTGTGCTGGCAGCCAGAAGGCAGGCTTGCAGAATGTACCTTTGGGTTGTTTCAATGATTATATATTCCTGAGTGTTTTTGTGTACATCCAAAAACAAAAACAGAGGAAATAGTAGCAAATACTGTTGAAATATGATGCACGGAGATTGTAATCATTACTTAAAAAAAAAAAAATTAAGTGGGGGAGCTATTCAGAATGAAACTTTCATATGTTTTTCATAATGTGTTTAGGAAGTCACTGCTGGTTTTAAGGATTAGAAGCATGGGTTCTGTCAGGCAGGGCCAGTGGAGAGCAGAGGTACTTGGGGCCTTCCCTATAAGTTGGTTCTACTCATGCCCAGAAATGAGGCCACTTGTTTTTCCTAAGCTTGTGTTGATGTATAACAATGTTTGTGTTTTACTGAATCAGTGGAATTTCTTATTCAGTTAAGAAAGAGGAACTTTGAATCCTTTTTCCAAGCATCCTAAGTTGTTAGCAAGTTGATATTGGCAGACATTGGGAAAAGACCTTTCTGGAAAGTACACTATGCAACAAATGCCTTCCCCTTGGTCCCTACCTGTCCATATCCAAGCCATTTTACAAGTCCACCTGCTCTGAGAAGCTGTCCTTCTGCCAGTTTTGGTGCTGTGGGATAAAGCACTGGACCACAAGGTTGGCAGTTCAAACTCACCAATTCACTCCTCAGAAACCCTATACAGATTCACTATGAGTCGGAACAGACTCGACAGAACTTAACAACAATAACAAAAGCTACCACTGCGTTGGCTATAAGTGCTTTGCTGCATTTAAGGCACTTTGCCCTTGCCTGCAAATGCCATTTCTGCACCATTGATCTCAATTAATTATAGACTTATAGAATGTTAGAACAGTAATCAGTCCTTGAAATCATCTATTCCATCACCTTCATTTCACGTATGAGGAAGATGAGGCTTAACATAGGGAAGTAAGTTGCTTTAGGTCATACAATGTAATGGGAAGAGTGTGGTGCTGGTAGAGTGGGCCTGGATGCAGGTCTCCGTGCTTCCATACCCCATGCCGGTGCTCATGACAATTCATCCATTATCTCAATCTCCAAGTTAAACTATAATTTTCATATAGGCAACATGTCGTATATGGTAATGTGTCCATTAACAGAGGTCCTAGTCATGGCTTTATGTCTTATAATTATGAACTAAGACATTAATTGACGCCTTATCTCTGCTCTACCTGGTATTTTCCTCTACTTACACCTCTTCTACTGATTTCCTTTGAGACCTTGAATAACTAACTCACTGCCCTTGCTCTAGGTCCACACACGCAAGTGGAAAAATCATGATATAAAGGAAAATACTGCGAGTTAGGAATTGCTCCAGACAAGACTGCTGTTGTGGCCACCCCAGCCAGGCAGAATTCAGAGGACAGGGCTACAGCCAGACTAGCACAGGGAACCAGCACTAAAAGTGGTGCAGTGACATTTGCAAAAGGAGGTGCAGGGGATTCTAAACATTTTTTCTGCTCTTCCCCGTCATGCCGTCTTTGCCCAGCCTGAATGCCTTCTGGAAGGAGGGTGCACACCCCCCCCAAAAAATACAGCATTGACCCCATAGTTTTGCCACGGCACAGAGAGAAAGAGCTTGGAGGCTGCTTATGACGTCAGCCTCAGGGTCACGGCCCTAAAGTTAACTTGTGCAAGACCTTTACTCCAGCCTATCTAGCAAGAAAAAAGCAGGCCCGTCAGGCCTGACAGACAAACCATATGAACAATCTGTAAAACCCCAACATAAAAGGACGCAACTATCTCGAGAATTACACTGTGCACACACAGATACCTAACTGACCTTCAGAGACAAAAATAATAGACAGTTTTTCTCCCATTAACTTCTCAGTATCTATCTGCGCACCTCTGTGGTGGTGACTAGAGGAGGGGCCTGAGCAAGCGGAACCCCCACCCACTACTGGAGATTTCTATCGTGCAAACACACTGCCTGTGTAGCAAGGCAACTGGACAGTCAGCCACAGTTTTATTTTTGTTTCAGAGTAATGGTTTTTGTCTCTTTTATATTGCTTATGATTTTGGGCCTTTTGATCACACATTTTTCCTGGCGGTGGAAGCTTTTACTCCCTACGTTACCCAAGAAGAGGCAGTAATCATTGCCATATAGCCAAGCTACAAGCATACCCCATAATATTCCACCATTGAGACAAGAGCTAATAACAGCTGCTAAGCATTACATGTAAAAAGGGAAGCCTATCACATGATCGTATTCACCAGGAGACACCCAAGAAGCTTAATAACACAACTACAAACATCCATTTAAGCATTAAAAAACCCACATAACTACTAGAAATGACAAACAAAACACACAAAAAAAGATCTCAAAGCATGTTCAAAAACAGAAAAGAATAACTGAGACAAATAAGCTGGAGACAGACAAAGGCTTTCCAGAAGAGGAAGAGAAGGTTTTGGATTTGCCTGAGAAGGAATTCAGAAGAATGATATGGAAACAAATTCAAATGCTTCAAAAAGGGGTGGAGGAAAACAAGGAAGAAGTTAGGAAAGTACTACAAGAGCAATCAGACAAGATCGATACAGCATTGGAAACAATTCAAAACCTGGTCCAGATGATTAATAATAAAATATCATAAATGGACAATACACTGCAAGGGGAAAGGAGCAGAATAGAAGAGATGGAAGCTAGACTAGCAAGCTGGAAGACAAATTTCTCAATACTGCTAAGAGAGAAAAGCAAGCAGAAAAAAGGATAAAAAAAATCTGGAGAGAGTCTTAAGAATCATGTTGGATAACATGAAGAGGTACAACTTAAGAATTATTGGCATTCTGGAACAGGAAGAATCAGAGAAGTCCACAGAGGAGATAGCTGAAGAGCTTCTGGAAGAAAATTTCCCTAACATCTTGAAAGATGAGAAGATTAACATTCAAAAAGCTGAATGTACCCCAGGAAGGATAGACCCCAAAAGAAAGCTACCAAGACATATAATAATCAAGTTCTCTAAAATCAAAGGAGAGAATCCTAAAAGTGGCCAGGGAAAAGAGAAGTGTCACTTACAAAGGCAAACCAATCAGATTAAGCTCTGACTTAATCTGAAACCATGCAGGTAAGAAGGCAATGGGGAGACATGTACCAAACCCTAAAAGAAAAAAAAACTGCCAACTAAGAATCATCTATCCAGAAAAACTGTCATTCAAATACAATGGTGCAATCAAAACATTCCAGGATGAGCAGAATCTAAGAGATTTTATCAAAACCAATCCAGCACTTCAAAACATCCTAAAGGGAGTTCTTTGAACTGAAACAAGAACAGACAGCAACCAAAGATTGACAGGCGTGGCAACACCACCTGGAACTTAGCCAACAGAGTCCAGAACAGAACAAAACTACAAAAATGAATTCAAAGGAGGTGGGAGGTCAACCGAAGATCAAAATAATATCAATGTTAAAGAAGGGGTAAATGTAGGAACAGAGATCCCGGTGGTGAGGATGTCAGGTAGATTACAGGATACAATAGATTCTCTTAAAAGGAGAGAAACATTATTAGACTAAAAGGAAACCCCAAAGAAAGTTAATACTTCACAACTTACCATGAAAATGAACTTCCAAGCAGAACAAGCAAACATGAAAACTAAGAAGAAACTGGCAAGAAATAGCACAAAAGCACAAACTCAGCACAAGAAGGCATGCAGAACAAAGGAACAAACAACACTACCAAAAAATTAATATAATGGTGCAATTAATTCAAACCTATCGATAATTACATTGAATGTCAATGGATTGAGTGCACCAGTGAAGAGACAGAGAGTGGCAGAATGGATGAGAAAACAGGACCCTTCAATACGCTGCCTACAAGAGACACACCTTACACACAAAGACAAAAACAGACTAAAAGTTAGAATGGAAAAAAATCTACCAAGCTACCTGCCACACTAAACAAGCAGGAGTGGCAATTCTAATCTCTGATAAAGTAAACTTTAAGGCAAAAACCAGCATAAGGAATAAAGAAGGACACTATCTCATGATCAAAGGGTCAATTGAGCAAGACCACATAACCATAATAAATATCTACGCTCCCAGTGAAAGAGCACCAAGATATATGAAGCAAACCTTACTAGAATTGAAGAGAGAAATAGATAAATCTACTGCTTTGGACAGATAGAGTGGCTGGGGACACTGGACTCAGGGAGGGACAGGGGTTGTGTGCTGGTGGCCAGGGACGGGCCTGTGGGGTGTATCCTTTGGTTATTTGATGATGCATGGAGTGGATTGTAATCATTGCAATGAAACGAAATACGATAGGATGAGTCTAAAGCTGATGTTCTCCCATATCAACCTTACAATAAAAACTTTTTAAAAAATAAAATAAAAAACAGGTTAAACTGTTTTCTACTTATATTTTATTCTTTTTGTTTTGGGGTTTTTTTAGCAGAAGATTTCTAATGTATTTGTAGGTACAAATTTGATTTATAAAAATATGGCTAAGGCAGATGTTTTCCAGAACATATCTCTTAATGACACTGAGATATACCTCAGTAAAAGTAAAAAAAAAAAAAAAACGTAATTATTAATTCTATTGATTTCTTTCAGAGATCAGGCCAGAATAACTCAAATACGTTGATCTTGGTTAACCTGAGGCTCCATTCAAGGGTCTTTTATTTGGATTAAGTACTTTCTGAATTCAACTCTCCTTCTCTTCCTTTTCTCCCAGAATCTGTGGATAACTGCCCCAGCAACTGCTATGGCAATGGAGACTGCATCTCTGGGACCTGCCACTGCTTTCTGGGTTTCCTGGGCCCTGATTGTGGCAGAGGTGAGAACCCCTGTGGGCCTGCCATTTCCCCTCACAACACCCCTAAGACAGTCTCAGGTTCCACTCCTCTCCCAGCAAGTGCAGAGCCCCAGGCCACCTTCCCACTTGCCCAGAATAATGCCCAAGGGCTGTCATCAGAAGCCCTCCAAGGATGCTCTGCAGGCTGATCTCTGGCCTCTTCCAGCCATTCTTACGCACATGTGAATGATGAGGGAGACCAGGAAGGGAGAGTTTGTACAGGGGCAGCCACTGTGAACTTAACATTGAACTTAGCCTTGGCTCCAAAGGCTGAACTTTGCCTTCACACATTGTGGCTTCTGTATTTAGGAGTTACCTGGAGAGTTGTTTTCTTTACTACCTGCAGGCTGAAATCTCAGCCCACAGTGCCATGGAGGGCCTTGGACTGCTCTCCACACAGGACCCCAGTGTCGCCTGTTACATGGGCTCAAAGGACTCTGCTTTGGGCTTTTATTTCTGTCTTGAAGAATTAGCAAAGAACATGCCAAGGGAAATTCTGAGGACTTGGCACTCCCTTGCAGAGTTAAAGTGACCCCTTCTTTTGGCTCTTCCATGCCTTCACTTACTCAGCAGGCATTTATTTTAGTTCATGCCCATTCTGAGCTAGTGGGACCTATTCCAGGCACTGGAGTTACAATGAAAGAGACATGGAGCCTCCAGCCTGGACTGCAAAAAGGACAAAACAGTATGTGAAATACACCATAGCAAAGCCAAGTACAGGGAGATTCTATCAGGATAGAAGAGAAGGGGCTGTACCAGTTGAGAAAGGGATAAAGATCAGAAGAGACTTTGTAAATGAGGTGACATTTCAGCCGAGCCCTGATGTTTAGGTAAGAGTTCATTAGTGAAAGGCAGAGATTGTAGGTATAGGGAACAGCACTCTGCAGATACTATGCTGGGGTACTGCCTTGGGGCTGCTGCTTGCTCTTCCTTATGTGAAATAGATTCTGATTGAGGTAGTCAAGCCAGCAGTGCTGAGGAAGCAGAGCGATTACCTGCTGAGTGCTTTTAAAAGGAGAGCAGCCATGTGGGGGCCATGAAATGGTGGTGCAGAGAGAAGAGCTGAGTCATTCCTTCCAACAAGAATTACTGTCTCATCCCATACACACTTACAGATCATGAATAAAGCAGCCTGATTGTATCTCGATAGGACTGGTAGGTACTTACAGCACAATACGGTATAATTTATTTTTATATAGTGTACTTTGTACAGATGATCACAAAACCCTTTCCACTAAGAGGCAGAATGGAAAGATAATACTTTAGAGAGCCACATTGGGCTCAGCTATTCTTGCATGGGGCCAGTGATGTATGGGGCTTGAATAGAGACCTGAAAGGCAAGACAAGCTGAGATTTTCTGGGCTAAAGAAGACAGTAAGTGGTTCTGCCGATGTAGGGAAGTAGAGTGTTATTAGCAGAAGAGGAGTGGAGAAAGAATTTGAGACAAGCAGGCAGCCCAGCCACTGTCTTTTCCAGTTAGAATAACTTCCTATGTAAGGTTCGCAGAAACCACCATACTACATCAGCACCATGAAGGCAATAGGGAAAAAAGACATCAGTGAGCACCATCTCTCCTGGGTCCTGCAGAGGAGACTTTCACTTACGATTCCAAAGGTATTTAAACTGGATATGAGGCTGTTGGTCAAGCCAGGGAAGACACAAGGGGACACAAGTGGTTGGGGTAGGACAGGCCTGGATTCATGCTGTTTCCCATCCTGTCTCCCCAGCTTCCTGCCCCGTGCTCTGTAGTGGGAATGGCCAGTACATGAAAGGCCGATGCCTGTGCCACAGTGGCTGGAAGGGCGCTGAGTGCGATGTGCCCACAAACCAGTGTATCGATGTGGCCTGCAGCAACCACGGCACCTGCATCATGGGCACCTGCATCTGCAACCCTGGCTACAAGGGCGAGAGCTGCGAGGAAGGTAAGGCTGGTGGGAAGGCATCTCTGGCACCATCAGAGGAAGAGGCCAGCACACAGTGCCAGTAGGGCAACCAGGGAGCAAAAGAAACTTCCTAAACTGCCCTGTGAGCCCCCAGGTCCCAGGCCAGGAACTCACCAGCAACACCAAACCAAAGGTAAAGGAAAACAAATCAGGGTCCTGGTCAGAAGGGGAAGTAAACTATTGTTTACAGAGGCTTAGGGAAGCCTCAGACCATTTATCTCATTTAACCCTCAAATCCTATCAGGGAAGAGTAGTCATTTCCATTTTATAGTTGAGGAAACTGAGACTCAGTGAGTCAGATGATTTGCCCCAAGTCCCATGACTAATAGAGGGCAGTCTGATATAAGCTCAGTTTTTCTGGCTCCGTAGTTCAAGTTGTTTCCACTTCCTTCTAAACTCATCTGGAGTCCTGGTGTGGTGCTGTGGGCTAATGCACGGGACTGTAAGTACAGTTTGAACTGCAAGGTCAGCAGTTCAAGCTTACCAGCCATTCCTTGGAACCCCTATACAGGTCACTGTAAGTTGGAGCTAACTCAACAGCACTTAAGAACGAAAAGTAAACTCATCTCTCTTCCTCTGTTTTTGAAATTGGGATTCTGTTATAGACCTCCTAATTCTGCCTTCTTTATGATCCTCCTGTATGCACATTCATGTCCTGCACAAGTGTCCCTTAGGCGCCTATGAATCTGTCTCCTCCTTCATAAACCTGGTTGAGCAAGGCTGCTAGTTAAACAGTGGCACTTGATGTCAGTCTTCTCTTAGAAAATATTACCAGATAAGTAAATACTCATATTTCATGCCAGAGCATCAACATATCCATGATCATAGAGCTAACTAATAGCAAGATGAGGCTTCAATCCATATAATTTTACTTCAGATCAATAGTCTTTTCTTCTTCACTGCCTGGGATTTCCAGATGGGAGGAGGAGTCTTGTTCATCACCATAGTCGAATAGATGTAGGTTTGAGTTCTGACTCTAACCTCCATTCCCTCATCTATAAAATGATAGCATCTCCCTCAGAGGGCTATTGTGATGATTCAATTAAATGACTATGTCAAGCACATAGAAAAGGAGCCCTGGTGTGGCACTGTAGGATAAGCACTGGACCGCTAACCACAAGGCCAGAAGTTCCAACCTACCAGTGACTCCTCAGAAACCCTATAGAGGGTCCCTATGAGTTGGAACTGAGCGGGTCTTACCAAGTTGCTATGTGGAAGAGAAATGGGGCAGTCTGCTTCTGTAAAGATTACAGCCTGGAAACTCTCTAGGGCAGTTCTACTCTGTCTTGTAGGCTTGCTATGACTTGGGATCATCTTGATGGCAACAGATTTAAACACATAGTGCAGTGTCTCACACATAGTCAATGCAACATTATTATATTGTTACAGGCAGCCCGAGGTTGTCAGTTTTTTATTTACATACAACCCCTAGTTAGAACCAACCCCATAAAACCTCTCCCTCCCCCATTCCCTGGCCCCTAGACACTCACTGGCCTAAATCTCTGCAGCCATTCATCCTCCCCCTCCTTTGTCTCCTTCCGCCCTGGTTCCTGTGGCTCCTGCTTTGGTTTCTGCTGTTTGCAGCCACCACGGCCACCATACAGCTGCCTCCCCCAACACTCTTGGGGGACTTCTCTACTCTGTCGACAACCCAACCTTCCTAGACATCCTTCCCACCCATGCCTCTGAGCCTCCACTTCCAAAATGCCCTGAGGAATACCTTCCCATCTTGCTCCTCCTCTTGCCTCTGCTGAGCCTCCCACCCCTGTCTTTCCCAGGGCAGGGATGCTGCTACCGCCAGTCAGCACAGGCTGGGAAGCCCCTGGCCCCATGCAACACCCCAATACTGCCACTACTGCCCTACTCTAAGGCACACAGTGATGTCCATCAAAACATTATTATTATTACTATATTATTATGTTAAAGTTGTTTTAGTGTATATGGAATTGGTTTTAAAAAAAAACTTTTTTATATATAGAAAAGTATATTAAATACTAGTAGATACTAACGTTTGACCAACTATTAGATATTAACCACACCTATTTTGTCTTTTATACCAATTCATCTTAAAACAACTTTATGAACACAATGGATTCATAATTCAGGGACTACCAGAATTGTTACTCTACGTAGTAGTATTCCGAGGACAATGGAAGCCCATTTCCTCTTTCCACCTTCTCGCTTTATCAAAAATCCTTTTGAAATGGACAGCTGACTCAGAATACTGGTCAGTATCTCCCATTCTCCAAAGTCTGGAGCTAATGAGTAAAGCAGTTCCACAGTGAGCTAGCCTTCCAATCCTGTTTGATATTCAACAGCTAACCCCTCTTACAGCATTATTTTCTCTTTTAAAAAAAAAAGAGAGAGGAGATATAACAGGACCATTTTCAAAGAGTGGGCAATAGGAAGGGATTTACGTCTAAAAAGCATTGCCTCTGAAGGCAGACTGTAGAAACCCCAAGTGTGGCCATCCTGATTCAGACTTGTTAACTCTGATGGGGATTGCTTTGGGCTGAGAGAGGAGGCGTGCCAGCCCCCACAACAGGAGAACTTGGCTTTCCAATCCTGACATAGGTGACTTGCATATGCTTTCCTTTTCATTTTAGTTACTTGAGGTGAAGACCCTGAGAAGGGACGAAAAACAGAAAGGAAATTCCACTTGAAACTGTAGGGGCTCACTCACCTCCAATCCCACCAATGTTGTGTTGGTGGGGAAGCTGGGAGTTGTTCTTGTCCAGATAAACCAGTACTGGATAGGGCCACAGAGCAGAAGAGTTATTTACAAAGAAAGCAAAGAAGTTGTTTAGATCTTTGATTTATGTTATCTATTTGAAAAGAAATGTTTTTACTCCTGCTTTCATTTCTGAGAAGGGCCATCTGGTATTGATTCCTTTTATTATTTGTGTTTCTTTGGGGGAGTGTCATTGCATATTTCTTGCATTTATTATAGAGTTTTCTTGTGGCCTTTGTCCTCCTCCCTCCTCTTCCTTGAGCTCTGCTCTAAGGGGTTTCATTGTGTTTATAAAACATCAGCTAACAAGTTTACTTTTCTCTCTCTGTCTTCCTTCTTATGAATTTTAGTGCCACATATTTTTTTAAAGCTTGAACTGAGCCAGCAGGTTGTTTAGAGGGACTCAGGGAAGGGACAGAAGAGAATAAATATACTTAGGCCTTTTGCAGTGAAATGGGAGACACAATGTTTTTGGACCCAGAGACCATCTCATAACTTGTGTGGTCACAAATATTTGGGGGGAAAGGTTATGTTTCCAGTGTAGCCTTCAGGCCTCATCATAGTACTAATGGGCTAAGCTTCTGCCAGAAATAGTGGCTTGAATGACAAGCCCTGCCGAATAGAAGTGCATCCTTTTTGGCACTTCTTTTAAGAAGAAACTAAATTGTCTTCTAAACAAAATTCAGCCTATACCACCCCAGCAACTTCTCCACTGCCCCTTCCTTACAGTGCTCTAACACCCCAGACCAGCTGGTTTTTCCATATTGTGTACAGCTCTCTGAAAGGTAAATATGACACTACCCTAGTGGGATGGTAAAAAGACAACTTTAATCCCATCCTAGGGTTCCTGTCACCCAGAAACTCCAGAGAGGGCAGGCAGATTCACAGTCTATGTATGACCTCTTTGGCAGGTAGAGCCTCAATGGAGCATAGAAAACGGCCCTAAGATTGGGATCTGTAGAGGCACAGGGACAACATTCTCCCCAGAGATTCTCAGCCAATACAGCACAGACTTCCTTTCGCTGCAAAGTCCTCTTTAACACTTGCTTTCCACACTAGCCCTGCAGTCCCTTTCCAAAGCTGACCTTCAGAAGGTATGATTAATTGCCTGAAGGTAGCCTCTCATCAGTTCCTTCTGATCTCTGTTCTCTGCCTGAACCATCAGCTAAAAGCCCAAGATTCTCTTTGCTGGTTTCTGGGTCCCTATTAGACTTATTACGTATAAGGTAGGACAGGAGTGTGATGCCAAGGGCCTCTTGCTAAAATTGGCACCCTCTCGACCTGCTTGCTAACAGTGGAGATTTATAGTTTTGTCTTCTGGGACGCCCTGGGATTCACAGAGACAATTTCAGTCCAAAGCTGGGGACAGGAACTTGGAGAATGGGAAATACCTTATAAGCCTTGGGATAGGAATTGCTAAATTGTTTCCTGTCAAATTATAAAGCTTTCTGGATTGAGGGACTTACCACAGTAGCCTAATGGACCAGAATAATCCTTCTGAGATTCTGAAATCTTAGGCAGGTCATGAAAATTTATCATTGCTATTATTTCTGTTATTTGTAATTACCGAGAAAACCAACAGATCTACTTTGACCTTTATTAAATGGTGTCCAGAGACAGCAGTAGAACAGATTCTTTGCCTGTGTTTGACTTTGTTACCTCTCCATTTGTCTCTATTTTTTTTCTTGTCTTGTTTTGATTTCCATTTTTAACCACTTAACTTTATGTGTTTATGCATATGTGTGGTAGTGGTGATGGTGTGCTGTGGAGTTGGTTCCAAGGCTGTAAATCTTTATATGAACATAAAGCCTCACCTTTCTCCCACAGAAGGGCTGGTAGTTTCGAACTTCTGACCTTGAGGTTAGCAGCCCAACTCACCAATCACTACGCTACCAGCACTCCTTATATATATATGTGTAGTATGTATATATATATATATATTCAGGTATTTTTGAGCCAGTAAAAATGTAGTTGTTGTTGTTGTTACATGCCATAAGTCAGTACTAACTCATAGCAACCATGTGCACAACAGAACAAAACACTGCCTGGTCCTGAGCCAACCTCGTAATTGTTGCCACACTTGAGACCATTGATGCTGCCACTTTGCCAGTCTAACTCGCTGGGCGTCTTCCTCTTTTTCTCTGACCTTACCAAACATGATATCCTGCTCCAGCTACTGTTCCCTCCTGAAACTATGCCCAAAGTATGAGAGACGAAGTTTGGCCATCCTGGTCTCCAAGGAGCACTC